CCATTTACCCATTGAAGGTCATCTGGTTTGTTTCCTGTTTTGGGCTAATACGAATAATGATTTTATAAATGTTTGTATACAGGTTTTTGGTGAACATAAATCTTCATTTATCTGACATAGATGTCCAGGTGTGTAGTTGATGGTCATGTGATATTTGCATGTTTTGTTTCTTAAGAAACTGCTGAACTGTTTTCCAGAGTGACTGTACTATTGTACATTACCAGTGGCAGTATATGAGTGATCCAGTTTCTCTACATCTTCACCAGCATTTGGTGTTGTCACTATTTTTAATTTTAGCCATTCTGAGAGATGTGCAGTGATACCTCATTGTGGTTTTAATTTGAGTTTCCCTGATGGCTAATGATGTTGAACATCTTTTCATGTGCTTATTACAATCTATATATCTTCTTAAGTAAAATGAGTCTTCATCTCTTTTGCCTGAGTTCTAATTGGATCATTTGCTTTGTTGCTGTTGATTTTTGAGAATTTTTTATATATTCTAGATACTAGTTCTTTGTTTTCTTAAGTAAAATGAGTCTTCATCTCTTTTGCCTGAGTTCTAATTGGATCATTTGCTTTGTTACTGTTGATTTTTGAGAATTTTTTATATATTCTAGATACTAGTTCTTTGTTTGATATATGGCTTGCCTATCTTTTTTCCTAGTCTGTAGATTGTCTTTTCATCCTCTTAACAGGGTCTTTCTTTTTTTTTTTCCTTTTTGTCTCTTTTTTACTGACCGGTAACGGGATCGCAACCCTCAGTGTTGCGCCCGCACCGCGCTCAGCCAGTGAGCGGGAACCGGTCTCCACATGGGATCTGAACCCTCGGCGGGAGCGCGGCTGCGCTCCCAAGTGGTGCACTCTCCAGTGCGCCACCGGGCCGGCCCCAGGGTCTTTCATATAGCAAACGATTTGATTTTTATAAAGTCCAATTTATAAAATTTTCCTTTTATGTATTACAATTTTGGTGTCAAGTCCAATGACTTTTACCTATCTCTAGATAAAGAATTTCTAAGTTTTTAAAAATTGAAATATAATTCACATACTATTATATTTACCCCTTTAAAGTATACAATTCAATGACATTAAGTACATTTATTTATTTTTTTTAAAAAGATGACCGGTAAGGGGATCTTAACCCTCGACTTGGTGTTGTCAGCACCACGCTCAGCCAGTGAGCGAACCGGCCATCCCTATATGGGATCCGAACCCGTGGCCTTGGTGTTATCAGCACTGCACTCTACCGAGTGAGCCACAGGCCGGCCCTAAGTACATTTATAATGTGCAACCATCATCACTATCAAATTCCAGAACTTTTTATCATGCCGAATGGAAACCCTATACTCGTTAAGCAGTCACTCCCCATTGCCTCCCCCACCAGCCCCTGGCAACCACTAATCTACTTTCTGTCTCTATGGATTTGCCTGTTCTGGACATTTGTTATAAATGGCATTAAAAATGTGGCCTTTTGTGTCTGGCTTCTTTCACTTAAGCATAATCTTTTCAAGATTAGTCTATGTTGTAGCATGAATCAAACTCCATTTTTTGTGGCTGAATAATATTTTTATGAATAGATATACCATATTTTGTTTATCAGTTCATCAGTAGATAGACATTTGGATTGTTTCTAGTTTTTGACTATTATAAAATATGCTGCTATGAATATTCATGCACAAGTTTTTCTGTGGACATGTTTTTAGTTTTCATGGGTATACACATGGAGTGGAATTGCTGGGTCATATGATAACTCTGTTTAGTCATTTGTGGAACTGCCAGACTGTTTTCCAAAGAGGCTGCACTATTTTACTTTCCCACCAGCAATGTATGAGGGTTCTGATTTCTTTGCATTTTTGTTCTCTTATTTTTTTCCCAAAAGTTTTACAGTTTTACATTTAAGTTCATGATCCATTTTGAGTTAATTTTTATATGGTATGAGACTTAAATGGCATTCTTTTTTCTTTTTTTCAAAAAACCTATGGATATCTAATTGCTCCAGCACCATTTTCAAAAAGGCTATCTTTTTTCCATTGAATTGCTTTTGCTCATTCGTCAAAAATCAGTTGGGCATATTTGTGTGGGTCCATGTCTTAGCTGTCTATTCTATTCTATTGATCTGTGTGTCTGTCCCATTGCCTGTACCACTCAGTCTTGATTACTGTGTCTAAATAGTAAGTTTTATAGTAATTGGGTAAACTGATTCCTCCTAGTTTATTCTTGTTCTGCAAAATTATTTTAGCTATTCTAGATCTTTTGCCTCTCTGTATGCATTTTAGAATAATCTTGAGTACATCTACACGAAATCTTGTTGAGATTTTGATGCGAATTTCATTAAACCTGTATATAACTTTGGGGCAGAATCGATGTCCTTTGGCTAGAGAGAGCAGACTTTTATTGGAGCTTTCTTTTGTCTGTGCCCATTGATACTTTTGGGTTGCTGGTTTCTTCAGCTCTAAGTATGGCATATATCAGGCAAGAAAACTTAGGGAAATCTCCATCATGTCATTTCGTAGGTTGTGAGGTCCCTGGCTGGTCTATCTTCTCCTCCCTACCTTTCAGAGTCTTCTAATATTTGTTTTATATATTATGTTTACAGTTTTTAGTTGTACTTAGCAGGAGGAATAGGGAAAAGCATGTCTACTTCATCTTCCCAGAGGTGGAAGTTTCACCTTCTTTTTTAAGTTAACAATAGGTGTTAGAGATCATTTCATATTAGTACATAAATTGCATACTTAATCTTTTGTTTATTTACATTTTTAACCAGTCCCCTATTGATGAGCATTTAGGGTTTTTTCAATATTTTGTTATTATAAACAGTGCTTCAGTGAATAATTTTATATACTTGGATATGTATCAGTTTGCATGTGTGCCAGAACAGCTAAAAGACAAATTCCTAAGAATAGAATTGCTGCATCAAAGGGTCAGTGCATTTCACATTTTAATAGATAATGATAAGTAGCCTTACAGAGAGATTGATTGTCAATCTGAATCATCCTGACTGTTGTCTGTATAGGCAGGACTCCTGGTTGTGTGAAACAGTTAGAGCCCTGGGGAACGATATTTTGAAGCACTGGAGGTCAGTATGCAACTCTGATACTGTGTATATGGGACTTTCCAGCATTTCCCGAACAATTTTTTTATATACAGATATCCAAAATATAATGAAAGTATTCCTTTATTTATTTTTTTTTAAAGATGACCAGTAAGGGGATCTTAACCCTCGACTTGGTGTTGTCAGCACCACGCTCAGCCAGTGAGCGAACCGGCCATCCCTATATGGGATCCGAACCCGTGGCCTTGGTGTTATCAGCACCGCACTCTCCCGAGTGAGCCACAGGCCGGCCCTAATGAAAGTATTCTGATCAGTAATCCAACCTTTAAAAGATTTTTGGATAGTTGCTTATGTATGTTTGTATCAGGTTTTATAGTACCTCATTTTACTGAAGTAAACTTTATTTTCTTCACAAGATTTCTCTGTGAATGTTAAATTCTCATTTGGGTCTGAATTATGCTCTTGTGGCTGATGATGTTAAGCAGTACATCAATTAAGCAATTTCTCTCAATTTAAAGGGTCATTGAAATTCACAGACATTTCTTATGGTTTGAACAGTAACTTGTTCGCTAGTTTATTATTATAATGTCTGGCCCAAGATTCTCCAAGGGATTTTTCTTTCTTTGATGACATCAGTAACAGTGATGGATAAACTGCTAATTTGATCATTTTGAATGCATTCCTACTGTGTGTATATAATGGATACTTTTGGTCTGGTTTCTTTTGTTCAACACAGTATCCATGTTGCTGTGTATATCAGCAGTTTATTCTTTTTTATTGCTATGTCATATTCCATTGTATGAATAGACCACAATTTGCTCATCCATTCTTCCGTAGAATGGATTTTTTCTAGCTTTTGGTTATTATGAATAGGGCTGCTGTGTACATTTGTACATGGTGTTTGGTGGACATATCTTGCTATCTCTTTAATATCTTTAATCAGGATTGTTTTAATCTTACAAAATTGTCTGCTGAATTTATTCCTTACTTTGTTTACTATCCCATATTTACCTTTTCCTGAGTTAGTAATTTCTTAAAATTCATTAAAGTTAGAAGGTTTTCCTTCCTGACCCAAGTGATTTTGGATCATGAACATAGTTGTGACAAAGTAACAAGAAATATTTGGTATATAATTGCTGGAGGGCAAGTTAGATGTGGTATGTGAGACATCTAACATTTATCTTGATCTGCATTGAATTCTGTTGGAATGTCCTATTCCTCAAAGTTGATATTCGACACCCTGTCAGACAAAGTCTTTGACAGAAGGTAAACACAGTTTCTAACGCCAGTGCCCTCCTAACCCTTGGAGCCTGCCCCTAGCATCACCAGCAGAACTGTCACCAGAAGAGCTGTCACCACCACCTCGTTTAATTGGCCCCAGCCTAACAATGGGAAGACCATTTGCTGCATTGTATAATGTATATATATTATGGTATACATGTGAATATCCTTTTTAAAATGGAGTTATATTTAGTTAATTACAGCTAATAGTGGGAATTTTTTTTCTTTAGCCAATTTATATGTTGTAATTTGGGAACTTTTCCTAGTGACTAAGAAGATTTTCCTTCCACAGAAGCTGTCATAGGTGATATACAAAGGTATCTGAATGGTAACATCATACAAGTATTACTCAATAACTTTTTAAAAAACTATACCATTTGGTTAAAATCATGGTTAATCAGTATCATTTTTGAATTAAAATAATATTTCATTATTTCTGTGGTCATATTCTGAGATGTTTAAAATATAGTTTAATAATACATTCCCCTTCTCTTCCAACCATGGAAAAAAGTTACCAGGCATCATTTACATATAATTAATTCAGTATGATTTCCTTTTTTTTTAAAAAAATGGTCTTTTTCCTTGTATTTAAAATGTAAAAATTTTCCTATTTTTTTCTTTCTGTCCTCAAAAATCCACTGTGGGTGATATCGCTTTTGCTGATACACAGCTTTATCAGGTATGACTCCTAAGTGTCATGTTGGACTCCATGGCTGTGTCATTGAACTTTTCAAGGGAAAAACTTTCTACACTGATTCTTCTACATTTACTCGATCAGTATTTATGAATATTTTATGAACATGACTGGGCTTTAAGGTTTAGTGTGGTCTTTGTATCAAAAACAGGTTTGCCAAATTTATTACACTTATATCTCAAAAAGAAGTTGTGTTTACTTCAAAAATATTATTGTTGAATGTCTCTGGCTTTCTGCATTATTAATCTGTCTATAATTCTCTATGTTTTTCCTGTTTATATGTATGAGTGTTTATATACACATCTGTGTTATTCTTAACATATTCGCTTTTAAAAACTTATACATATTTCTAAACAGTATGTTCCTAACTTATACATATTCCTAACCAGTCCTTTTTCAAACTGTGTTTCATGAAATATGAGAGTACTTCAAAAAGTTCATGGAAAGATTCGTATTATTTTTTAATTGTATTTTTCCACAGACTTTTTGAAGTGCCTTCGTATATTAATATGAGATGCTAAGTGGAGTAGCATAAAAAATGTTCTCAGATATGTTTACTATTTCCCTCCTTGAGAGATTTATAATACACATTAGCATATTAAAAGTTCTGGTTTTATGCAGTAAGGAAATTGTTTATCTTTTTTTATCTGAGCATCTTCTAGAAATATTTGGGTGTGGAACACTTCATAATACACAGAGGTGTTCTATGATTTGGAGAATGCTGCAGAAACTATGTGCAAGGTTTTCTTTGTAGTATTTTAGTACATCAAATAAAATTGACTACAAGTGATTAAATTTTCAAGAGTATTTAGCTGAATTGTATTTTGGGAGTGTATTTTCTTTTAGAAATTACATTTTGAAGTACATCATTGATTTTTTTTCCCCATGTATTATCTATTGCTTTCAATACTTTTAATGGTCTTTAAAAAATACGTAAAACTTAAAACTTCTGCTTTTTTGTTGGAAAGAGGGTTTTTTTGTTGTTATTGTCATTGTTTGCTTGTTTCTCTTCTATAAGAATTTGCTTTTATCTTTAAAAAAATGTGTTTACTGTTTCAGATAGCATGACACAGGAAAGGAGGCCTCCCAAACTTCCCTTCATGTCAAGAGGTGTTGGGGACAAAGGCTCATCCAGTCATAACAAACCAAAGGCTACAGGTATGGATTAATAAGATACAATCTTTAGTAATTTATATGATATCTGATTTGCCATAGCAGTGAAAAGGTTGTAAGCTATTACTCCTTAACATATATGTAGACTTTCTTCTTTCAAACATTTTTAGGAAACTAAATATTTTATAGTAGATGCTATTACTTAAGCAAGAGTTTCCCTTGAGGTCCTATGCATTTTGATGGCCCATAATCGGCTGGTTTTTGGACCCCCCTACTTGTAACATTTGGATATACAGTTTAGAATTCGAACTGCATAAAATAATCATATATGGATAATGTTATACAGGATAAAGTATACTAGAAATTATGTGAATTTTACTAACCAGACGTGGCAGAAATTAAATTCCAAACTGCTAAGCAAAAATTTTTTTTTTTTTTTTTTGTCTTTTGTCTTTTGTCTTTTTTCCGTGTCCGGCAACGGATCGCAACCCTCAGTGTTGCCCCCGTACCGGACCGGGGACCGGCAACGGGATTGCAAACCTCGGTGTTGCTCCCGCACCTTGCTCAGCCAGTGAGCGGGAACCGGTCTATATGTGGGATCCGAACCCTCGGGCGGGAGCGCCGCCACGCTTCCCAAGCGGCGCACTATCCAGTGCGCCACCGGGCCGGCCCCGTAAGCAAAAATTTTGTCTCTTTTCCAGAGCCTCCCTCACAATACATGTGGGATTCATAGCTCTTTTTTCATTAGCGTCTACAACTTCATAGATTTATAGGGTGGTAGTTATACAAACCAAACAGCTCATTTAAAAAGTTGTAAGAATTTTTGTTATCTCCAGTGTGGGTTAGGAGAAGAATATTTTTCCCTCAATTATCTAGTGAACAGAACTATTTTGCCTCATTTGAAAAGAAAGTGTACTTTAAGAAATATTTCATGTGACATCAGGCTCTGGGAGACTTAGAATTAATTGCAGGATATATAGGTAATAGTATTTTTTATGTTAACCTATAGATCTCTATATAGGATTGCTCAAACTTGCTACTGTCACTTAAATATAAATAGCCTAAGATTTTTTTAAGACATGGCATGTTAATTGTGTTGTGGTAGATCTTAGTTAAAGGTAAAGGTATTTATCTGCTTTAAATTGAAAAAAATAAATCAGTTTTGTATGGATTCTGGAGACACACTGCTGTCCACTGCGGCATGTCCTCTTAGTTCATACTGGGCAGGAGGCTGTATTGAAATGTCTGTTACATAGCTACACTAACTTTTTCTTACATTTAGCAAATTTAATATATAAGAAATAATAGTGCTTCACTTTTTCAGGCATGAAGAAATTAAGCAAGGAATTCAATGACCACCAATTCCAGTATATTTAAACCTTGAATCTTTTTAGACCTAATTTGTGCATTGGTTTATATACAGCATTTGAAGATTACCTTCTTCTGAAAGGAACTGTCTTAAGATAATAGGTTAAATTTGTGAGCCAACGGATTCATCCAGTGAAATTGAGGAATGGTGATTTTGACATTTGGATTATATTTCTTTTTTTTTTTTTTTTTTTTTTCCTTTTTGTCTTTTTCCGTGTCCGGCAACGGATCACAACCCTCAGTGTCGCCCCCGTACCGGACCAGGACCGGCAACGGGATCGCAACCCTCGGTGTTGCTCCCACGCCTCGCTCAGCCAGTGAGCAGGAACCGGTCTGTATGTGGGATCCGAACCCTCGGCGGGAGCGCCACCACGCTCCCAAGTGGCGCACTATAGCAGTGCGCCACCGGCCGGCCCGGGATTATATTTCTTAAAATAGATAGATTTTTTTTTCTTTTTTAAATGAGTGAGCTTTAACTTAACCCTGTTCCCCTCCTATATATTGACTCTTGTGCTGAAGAATCTTTTAGCATTGCCAAAATGGTTACCAAATTTTGAAAAGCTGAAGACAGTAATAAAGTATATAGTGTTTGTTTATGTCTGTTGGTTGTGTGAACAGTTGTTAACCCATATTCATGTTAATTTCTCTTATTAAAAAAAACTTTGACACCATATTGACTTTTTTTTTTAAAAAAGGAACTTTTCTTGTTCCATAGGATCTACCTCAGACCCTGGAAACAGAAACAGATCTGAACTATTTTATACCTTAAATGGGTCTTCTGTTGACTCACAACCACAGTCCAAATCAAAAAATACATGGTACATTGATGAAGGTAATCAATAATTTTAGTGTTCTTTATAATGATCCTCTCTCTCCTTTTAACTCAGAGGCAAATGGCTTTTTCATCAATATTCTTTGGAAACAGAATGAATAAATCATTCTGTATTAATATTGCTGAGCTAAAGTATTGTACATAATTTGAACTGCACCTCTGTTAAGATTAATAAAACATTTATAAAATGTATAGTAGCTTGTTCTCTTAACTGATGTGTTTAGGGTAGAAGATCTTTAGAATCAGTCAAATCATTTAAAGATTTTTTTCTCTGGGTCTTTCTTGACTTCTTTAAAGCATTTCCTTTTTAAAACTCTACCTCACCTTGGTTCTGGGACATAATTTTCTTCCAGTTTATTTTCTTTGTTCATCTGTTCAACAAGTATTTATTGAGTGCTTATTATGTGCCAGACATTCTTCTAGGCACCGAGGTTACAATGGTGATAAAAGTAGACATGGGCTCAGCCCTTTTTGAATTGACAGTTCAGTTGTTAAGATAGAAATTCATCAAACAATCACAGAAACAGACAAATAATTGTAATGGTTATGAGTGCAGTGAAGGCACGTGATGCTGTGAGAGTATATGAAAGAGGATTTTACTTAGGGACCCAGTGATGTTTCTCTGAGGAAGTGACACGTGCCTTTTAGGTTTACCAGAGGACTGGTAAATAACTAAGGGAAAGAGGACAGAAGCACCTTTTAGGCAGAGGAAATAGCTTATGTAAAGGCCTCATGGAAGAATGGATCCTGGTGTTTGCCAAGGACTAGAATATATATAGAGAGGCATAACATTTATGAGATGAGAATGGAATGGCAAACAGGGCCAGGCCATGTGGAGCCTGCTGTGCCCTATTAAAATGAGATGCAGAGTCACTGGAGGATTTTCAGCAAGGGACGGCATGACCAAGTTTGCCTTTTGGAAAGATCATTCTGGCCGCAGGGCAGACAATGAATTGAAGCAGGGACTGTGTAAATGCACGGACACCATTGAAGGCTGTTGCAGGTCCCAGTATTTGACCATAGTAACTGGGACTAGCCTTGGGGAAGAGATGGGGAGAGGTGCACAGATATAAGAAATATTTAGGAGGTTAATTGATGGGACTTACTGGTAAATTGCAAATGAGAGTTGAGGAAGAAAGAGATGTCAAGACTCCTGTTTTTCTTGCTTGTATACTTACATGGTGATGGAGAAGGCGATGAATTTGATTTTGAATATGTTGAGTATGAGGGGCTTTTAAAACTTCCTCGGGGTGATTTGTCATGTAGTCAGTTGGATGTACAGGTCTGGAGCTTAGAAGGGAGGAAAGAGCTGGAGAAATAAATTTGTAGGTGGGCTTCACATATTGTGGTGATTAAAGTCCTGTGAATAATATCACCTAAGGATAGAGTAGGGATGGAGGGCATGGGTTAAGACTGAACCTGAGGAACTTAATGGTTGGGGTGGGAGGGAGATAAGTCATGAAAGGAGACAGAAAAAGTGGCCAGAGGGATGTGGGGAAAACCAAGAGACTGTTGGGTCAAGAAGCTAAGGAGCGAATGGACAGCATATTGCATGCTCTTGAGAGGGCAGGTAAGATGAAGACCACACAAAACTCATTGGATTTAGCCACCCAGAAGTCATTGATGACCTTATTGAGTTCTGTTTTTGTGGAGGAATTTCATCAGAGGCCATAGTATGCCAAGGGTGTGGAATGAGGAAATGGGGACATGAATCCAGTTGCCTAGAATAGAAGTTTGGGACAGACTTCCTCTGTCTGTCTCATTAGTCATATCCAGTTGTCACCAAGTCCTTTGGATTTTCTCCTCTTCAATATCACTAGAATCTTTCCCCGCTTCTTCATTCCCGCAACCACAGCCTTAGTTCAGATTTTTCTTTCTTTGCTCCTGATTAATATAGTGGCCTTCTAATTGCTTTCCCTGCTTCACTCCCGTTCCTTTTAAATGAATTCTGAATAGAATCTTTCCCCGCTTCTTCATTCCCGCAACCACAGCCTTAGTTCAGATTTTTCTTTCTTTCTTTGCTCCTGATTAATATAGTGGCCTTCTAATTGCTTTCCCTGCTTCACTCCCGTTCCTTTTAAATGAATTCTGAACAGCAATAACCATCATTATCATCTTCATCTTTGTTACTCTCATCTTCACTGCAGTTGACATTTCTTGACCACTTACTACATGCCAGGCGTTGTGCTAAATACTTTGTACACATTATTTTATTTCATCCTCTTAACAACTTTATGAGGTAGATTTTTTGCATACTCTTTGTTACAGTGGTTGAATAACTTGCTGATGACCACACAGCTAGTAGTAGTGGTGCCAGTATTCCAACCCAGATCTGTTTGACACTAGCACTCATGCTTTTAATCATTATTCTATGTTTCTCATCACATTTCTATCTGAATGGTTTTTCTGAAGATAAAACCATTTCTCTCCTTTCCTTAATATCTGTTAATGCTTCCCCAGCCCTTGAAGATAAAAATCCAGATCCCTTACTTTGGCATGTTGGGCTCTTTGTGGTGTGACCTCTTACCTATCTCTGTCATTTCCCTGCACCCCCTGCTCCAGCCATACTGGACTGGGGCCTTTCTTGGGATGTGCCAGGTTTTCTTTTTCTCTGTGCATGTTGCTCCCGCTGCCTGGAAATCCTTCTTCCTGTTCCTTCACTTTCATGGTCTGGTTTACTTCTATTCATCTCTTAAATCTCAGCTTACTTGTTTATTCAGAACGCCTTTCCTTTCCTCTCCCGCTTCTCCTAGGTTAGGTTATATACCATCATAAAGGTTTTGTTTACTTGCCTATCTCCTCTCCCGGACTGTGAGTTCCTAGTGCTTGGAACAGGACTTGGCATCCACTAGATTTAATAACGATGTGCAAACTAAATAAAAATAAGAATGTAAAAGTACCTTAGAACTCTATAATGACTTCTAAGCTATCATATGGATTCAGTTGTATCATAAGCTAAAACACATCCACCAGTTTAACAGTATAAATCTGCTGTTACATAAATTGGGGTTAGAAACTCACATGGGAAATGACCTGAGTGAGTGATCTTTGATTATGTCTTTTCCATGCCTTCATTCCTACTCTGGGTAGGGTATTGTGAAGATAGGCAATCAGGGCCTTTAATTCCCAAGAACTTCCTAGCCACAGAGCAGGAGGCTTATTTAAAGGATGCTTCCCCAGGAGATCCTGTCTCCTGATAGAGTATTTTTGTTAAGATTTGGCCTGTATGTGAGCAATTATCAGCTCTGTAAAAACCTACTGGAAAGTGCCAAAACACCAAGGGCCTGGTAGAGTTCTTTGGTAAATCACAGCCCTGCTGGCATCTAGATGTGTACAGGGCCTGTCCAGGTGTTTATGAGGCAGCCCCACCCTCTTGCACTGTTGTTACTGGCAGATTTACTAATGCTTCTCCTATATGGTGATTTCTTTCTAAGGAAAGGAAACTTAGTAAAGCTATAGGTTTTTCATAATCTAGATAACATCAATTCTTCAAGTTTATGCTATAATATTATCTCTCTTATCCTTTATTCAGATTCTGTATTGTAAAAGAATGTTCTTAACTTCTCGATTCTCCTAGAATCTGTTCTAATGTTGTGTAATACTTTAATGAAATAAAATTAGTCCTAAAAAACTCTATGGAACCTATGAAGTAATGAAATTTGTATGGAGTAGCCCTTCATCTTTAAATTAGAAAAGAAGTAATTTAGTTGAGAAAGAACATTATTTCTGTAGTTAATTTTACTTACACATTTAGAAAGCTTTTCCCTAAACATTTGATTCATTTACTCACTTGTTTTTTTTTTTACAAGTATTTTACAAATATTTTCTTGTGTTAGTGGCTATACTAAGTGCTGTGGATTCAACCATAAAAAAGACTAATGCAATTGCTGTTCTGACAAAGCTTGTGTTCTGGTTTTGAAGTTTGTGTGATAGAACAGTAAGTGTATAAACAAACAACGTAGTAGTCAGTCATAACATGAGCAGTGAAGGAAATGAACGAGGTGATAGCAGCTGGTGGGAAGCTGGCTACCATAGGGTGGTTTGGAGAGAACTCTTTGAGGAAAGGATATTTGGGTTCAGATATGGACGTTGAGAATGAAACTGCCAGAGAAAGAGCTTGGCAAGAGCATTCCAGGCAGAGGAAATAGTAAGGGCAAAGGTCCAGAGGTGAGAAAGTATTTGAGAAATAGGAAGGAGGCCAGAGTGGCTGCAGTAGAGTAAGCAATGAAAAGGTTTGTATGAAATGAATTTGGAAGGCAGGTAGGAGCTAGATCATCTAGGACCTTGTAGGTGTAGGTAAGAAATTTAGTACTTATTCTAAGAATATTAGAAAGCCTTTGGAAGGTTTTAAACTGGGGAATGACATGTGATCACCTAAGATCTTTAAATTAAAAAAAAATTTCACTAGTTGTTGTATGACAGATTGTAGAAGGGCAAGAAGGGAAACAGACCTGGTTAGAATCTGATTACAGGGTGAAAGATGATGGTGGCTTGGATTAAGGAGATGATGGTAGAGGTTAAGAGAAATGGATGAATTTCAGAGAGAACCAACAGAACTTGCTTTATAGATTCAGGTGTTGGGCCTGGGGGTTGAGAGTTTGGGAAAGAAAAGAATACCTTTTTAAAATTTTAGATTAAGTATTAATACTGAGGAATCTTTAAGGTTTAAGGTATAATGAACAATAGGTGTAAAGGACAATGAATACCCATGTTGTCACTATGCACTTTAATAAAAGACCATTATCATTACCTTTGAAAGTCCCTGGGTACCTCTTGCTAGTCCCATTCTTTTTACTCTCTCCTCTGAGCTACCATCATCTTTACTTTAATGTTTTATCATTCTCTTGCTTTTCATTATAGTTTTGCCACTTAAGTGTGTATATCTAAATAGTATGCTGTTTGTTCTTCATTGTTTTGAACTTTATATACAGGGAATCAGATAATATGTATTGTTGCATAATCTTCCCTGCCCCTCACATTATGTTCCTAAGATTCATCCAAGTTGCAGTATATAATTGTAATTTATTCATTTTCATTGGTATATAGTATTCCATGGTATGAATATACCACAATTTAATTAACCACTTGACCATTGATGGACATTTGAATTGTTTTTCTTTTCCTGCTATTGTTAACAGATCTGCTATTAACATTCTTACACATATATGTCTAGCTAGGAATGGTATTATTTGGTCATGGGATAGGTACATCTTTCCTTTACTAAATAATGCCAAACTGTTTCCCAAAGCAGTTATACCAATTTACACTCTGTCTTAGTCCATTTCAAGTGCTATAACAGAATACCATAGACCAGGTGGTTATAAACAACAGAAACTTATTTCTCACAGTTCTGGAGGCTGGGAAGTCCAAGATCAAGGAGCCTGCAGATTTGGTGTCTGGTGACGGCCTGCTTCCTGGTTCGTAGATGACCATCTTTTTGCTGTGTCCTCTCATGGTGGAGGGGCAAGGGAGTTCTCTGGGGTCCCTTTTATAAGGGCACTAATCCCATTCATGAGGGTTCCGCCTTCCTGACCTAAACACCTCTTAAAGGCCTTATCTCCAAATACCCTCACATTGGGGTTTAGGTTTCAACATCTGAATTTTGTGTGGCACAAACATGCAGTGTATAGCACTCTCCTAGTAGCATTCATTGTGTAAGGGTATCAACTGCTCCTCATTCTTACCAACCAACAGTTAATATTCTAAGACCTTTCACTTTCGAAATGATATCTCATGTGATTTTGGCTTTTGTTTATCAATTTACTAATGAGGGTAAGAAACTTTTCATTGATTTGTTGGTGATTTGGGTTTCTTCTTTTGTAAATTGCCTTTTCTAGTCTTTCGTCTATTTTTTTCTAGTTTTCTTATCTTTTTCTTACTGATTTATAGACCATTTTCAAGTTCTAATCCTTTGTCAACTATATGTATTGCAAATATTTCCTTGTTTGTGGCTCAAATTTTCATTCTCCTATGATGTCTTTTAATGAACAAATTCTTAATTTTAATGTGTTCATATTTATTTATGATTTGTATACTTATATTTAATAAATTTCTCTCTACCCTGAAGTCATAAAGAACATTCTTCTTTTTTTTTTTTTTTTTTTGTCTTTTTCCGTGTCCGGCAACGGATCGCAACCCTCAGTGTTGCCCCCGTACCGGACCGGGGACCGGCAACGGGATCGCAACCCTCGGCGTTGCTCCCGTGCCTCGCTCAGCCAGTGAGCGGGAACCGGTCTGTATGTGGGATCCGAACCCTCGGGCGGGAGCGCCGCCGCGCTTCCCAAGCGGCGCACTATCCAGTGCGCCACCGGGCTGGCCCAGAACATTCTTCTATATTGCCTTTATAGTTTTGCCTGTCTCATTTGTTTTTATGCCATCTAGGAGTGTTTTTTGTGTACAGTATAAGTAGGATTCCAGTTTAATTTTTTTTAAACATATGGATAACCAATGTCCTCAACACCATTTAGTAAGAAATTCATCCTTTCCCCACTTGTCTGCAGAGCCTGCTTCTTAGCTTGTTAGTTATTTTAAGGAAACAGCTTTTGACTGTGGTTCTGTTTACTGCATGTTTGTTTTCTCTTAAATTATTTTCTTTTTTTGTGTTTATTCTGGCTTTGAGCCTTTTTAGTTTATGTTTGTTTTCTCTTTCATTAATTTCTGTTCTTTTGTTTATTCTTGTACTTTTTGGGGCTATTCTGTTCTTTTAACTTCCTAAGTTGCATACTGAGTTTATTAATATTTAGCTTTTCTTTTTTCCTAAAATAAACTATTAAAACTATACATTTCCTTTATAAGTATTACTTTATCTGTGTTCCACAAGCATTATTTCTTTCTTTTGTTCTTTTTTCCCTCTCTCTCTCCTTCTCTCTCTCTTTTTATTTTTAAAATTTGTATTATTGTATCTTCTTTGGTCTGTAAGTTACTTAGAAACTTAAAAAAAATCTTTTGCTATCTTTTTGTACTGATTTCTAATTTAATTGTATTATGGACAAAGAATATATCCCATATGATACCTAGCAGTAGTAAATTTTTTTTTTGGTTTGAACACTTGGGTGCCATTTATTGAGGTAGAAACATTTGGAGGAGGGGAGTAGAAGCAAGAACACTGTTTTGGAGATATGAAGTTCATGATGCCCATGAAAATACTAGGAGAGAGGTAAAGCAGGCAGTTGGACTAGATCTGTATACTAATTTTTAGAGATGTAAGACATATATATATTCTTGAATAAATTTCTCTAATTAAGAATAATTTTTTATAGTTGCAGAAGACCCTGCAAAATCACTTACAGAGATACCTCCAGACTTTGGACATTCTTCACCACCACTGCAGCCTCCTCCTGTGAATTCATTATCCAATGAGAACAGATTTCACTCTTTACCATTTAGTCTGACAAAGATGCCCAATACCAATGGAAGTATTGGCCACAGTCCACTTTCTCTGTCAGTTCAATCTGTGATTGGAGAGCTAAACAGTGCACCTGTCCAGGAGAGTCCACCCTTGCCCATATCTTCTGGTAACTCACATGGCCTAGAAGTAGGCTCACTGGCTGAAGTTAAAGAGAATCCTCCTTTCTATGGGGTAATCCGTTGGATTGGTCAGCCACCAGGAGTCAGTGAAGTACTAGCTGGACTGGAACTGGTAATTTATTTTTACCTAAAAATTGTAATTCTTTTCTGTACAGGGTTTTGTGCAGATTTTCCCCTGTTATATGGGTTATTTTTTGGCAAAATGTTATATTTGTCAAAAAAGCCATCATAAGAAAAATTTTATTACCTTGTTGCCTGACTTTCCTTTGCCACACACATTTGTTTCCAATGTTCGTTTATCTGTTTAATGAATGAAAATTGACTTTTATTTAGGTTCCTTATGTTAAACAGAATGCAGTAAGGAAAGCAAATCTGTTATTAGCTTTTCTTTTTCCTCCTCAGCCTTCTTCTCCCAATCAGTTCTAGTAGTTAATTAGCTTTAAAATTAATCACCATTTTTAGAGATTTTTGAGATCTTTGGTAGCGGAAAAGATTTTCTCTTTGGAGATCAGGAAAACATATTATTTGACATTTGATTATCAGGAGAGGAGAATTTGAGTACATTTAGCTTTTATTTAAATATATTTCTTGTTTTTCTACATGTTTGTTTCTATGCTAGTGAATACTATTTTTGGGGGGAGGGGAGAGTTCTGCCAGGTTTTAATACTTGTGGAAATGGTGCAGGAAAGTCAATTAATCAGGGAAGGTTTAAGCAAATATTCTCAAAGGAAATACATTGAGGAGGACTTCATGCTGGATTAAAGAATTAATTTCTTAAATTGTTAGCTGTGAGCTGAAGCACTGATTAGTCATCCTCTTTTTTTTTGATATAGTTCTCAGCACAGGTGTGAAAGAGGGAATTCTGAGAAAGGATAAACTAGAAACAAGTCTTAGAAACCTCACTTCTTTGTGTGCTGTATTTGCAAGGTATGGCATGACACATATGGAAGCATTTCTTTTTCAGGAGGATGAATGTGCAGGCTGTACAGATGGAACCTTTAGGGGGACTCGGTATTTCACCTGTGCCCTGAAGAAGGCGCTGTTTGTTAAACTGAAGAGCTGCAGGCCCGACTCCAGGTTTGCATCACTGCAGCCAGTTTCCAATCAGATCGAACGCTGCAACTCTTTAGGTATTTAGATGCTTTTTAATTTATTTTCTAATCTCAATGACCCTAGTTCTAATGTCATACCATTTTGCATTAGGTGACAGTGACAATGTTTTAAATATTTCTCTTGCCAATATTTTTAAATATGCCAAATTTTTAAATCTTGCCAATATTTTTTTCTTACCAATATTTTTAAATCTACCAAATTTTTAAATCTGTAAAAATTGTGCCTTGGTGTATAAGAAAATAGTTATCCTAAGATGAAACATTTAAAAAAAGTATTAGTCAAAAGTGTTTGTGACTTAAAAAGTGAAAAATAGTGGGATTTGTTTTTCTCTTCCTGTTGGTTATAGACATTTAATTTCCAGTAATACAGGAGGAAGAAATTGAAATGTGGCGTTTGTGGCATTGACTTCACTCTCCACGTATTGTTTAAGTCTATAAGTAAGCATATCTTATCAGGAAATCAGCATTAGTCTAAGAAGTAGTTTTTGATTGATTGATGGAGGACAGATCTTCTCATCACTTGTAGCAGCTGGCAGTTTCCTGATGCCGTCTCTTTCCAGTTTTGGATATTAGTAGTGAAACATCTTGAGGGCTAAGCAGGTGTAAATAAGAAAGGCATCTTTATGAAAAACATTTTTCATTGAAATAGTACTTTGGAATTTTTTGTTTTCTTTTCAAACTTGAAAATAAAGCATCTTCAGATAAATAATAAAGTATTTGGGAAACAAAATATTTTACTTGACAGATGCTTTTTATTCATAACTTAATACACTAAAATGTTTTTCAAATTGTGGAGGAAGTTAGATTGAAAATGAACAATAGCATTTAAAAATTTTTTTTATTATTTATTATTAGCATTTTCATTATTACAAATCATGATTTTTCTTTATGCCCTTTCCCAACCTAAACAATAGCATTTTTTACAAGCCAAGTCGAATAACAGTTAACCAAAGCTTCCCTTTAACTTAAAGTTGAGAAACAAATTTTGCATCAAAATACCAGAATATATTTTTAAATGAAGAAATATATATGGGAATACATATTGTAATAGTTTAAAAGAATTTTTTTCATTTTAATTTTTTATCTTTTCAGCATTTGGAGGCTACTTAAGTGAAGTAGTAGAAGAAAATACTCCACCAAAAATGGAAAAAGAAGGTTTGGACATTATGATTGGAAAGAAGAAAGGTATCCAGGGTCATTACAATTCTTGTTACTTAGACTCGACCTTATTCTGGTAAGTTTAAAATTAATGCAGTAGGTATAGATAGTGCCATGGGGGCAGGGACATATATGTGTGTCTGAGTACGTGTGTGTGTATGTGTATGTGTTTATGTATACACATGAAAGAAACTGCCAACTGCCTCTGAGTAGAGAAACTGAGTAGCTAGGGATAAGGGAGGAAAAGGAGATTTGCTTTTTATAATATACTCCTTGGAAGCTATTGAGTGTTGTCTCATGTTCCTCTATCGAAAAAGATAGTATAAAAAATAATACAGTAAATAATGAATAAGTAGTGAGTGATAGTGTTATAAGTGGAACAGATATACTGAGGGTACCTAGGAAATCATATTACTGAAGAGGATCAGTACAGTTTCTCTGTGCACTTATCAAATAACATGACTTGCAGCGAGCCATTGGCTGATGTGTGCTGTGTTTGTTTCAGTAGGTAGAAGCAATCATAAAACTTCTTTTTTTTTTTTTTTATTTGACCGGTAAGGGGATCGCAACCTTTGGCATGGTGTAGTCTGCACCACGCTCAGCCAGTGAGCGCACCGGCCATCCCTATATAGGGTACGAACCCACAGCCTCAGCACTACCAGCGCCGCACTCTCCCGAGTGAGCCACGGGGCTGGCCCTAAAACTACTTTATTTAAAAAAAAATATTTTCAGTAGAAGAATTGTTGCCCCTGTGTATGTAGTTTTTCCAATTTGGAATAACTTAACATGGCAAGATTCTTTAGGCACGGAAGACTGAGCCAAGAATTTTTAGGCTCTGAGGATTGTACATTGCCAGTGGAACTGAGTGTAATCTGCCAGCTCTGTGCAGCCATGTCATGAGAATCAGGCAGTTAATATGGTATTTAAAATTTTAATAGTAGGGAGAAGAATAAAAGCAGGCCATTTTGTTTGCAAAATACTTCCGGTCTCTCAGATGTGTTGACAAAAACAAGCCTAATAGAGTTGATATGATATTTTTTAGATTTTCTGATAAAAATCTATATTAACCAAATTTTCTTTTTCTTTGATACCAGCAAGTTTCTGCTGTTAGTCATTCAACAAGTGATTTTTGCATTTAAAGAAATGTAAATCTTTGCAAAGGGGCATGTGGAGAGAGAAGTATGTTATTGAGTAGTGCTTGCCTTGGAAAGTAATTCTCAGACTTCCTCCTCTTTTGTTCATTTGGAATTTGGCTCAGATTGTAGCCCCTCTTTCAACTTTTGCAAAGAAGTTTACTTTCTTAATATATCGTAGGCATATTTTTATCCTTTTAACACTGTTAGTCTATAGTTTGCCTTCTCATTATTATTATTCTCAACCTGGTCGGATCTCTAGGCCCAGGAGATTGAACCATGGAAATCTTCACAGGGCTCTTGGGTACCTGAGTTAATGAAAACCAGAAATTTTTGTGTTATTTGTTCTCTAGACTGCTTTTTTTCCTCTTCTGATTCTTTTTGGAATCTATTTTCAAAAAATGATATATTTACAGCATGAGGAAAAATATTATTTTTATTTTGCAGCTTATTTGCTTTTAGTTCTGTTCTGGACACTGTATTACTTAGACCCAAAGAAAAGAATGATGTAGAATATTACAGTGAAACTCAAGAGCTACTGAGGACAGAAATTGTTAATCCTCTGAGAATGTAAGTAGGAGATATATAATTATTTTGCCTTTAGATGGTGTCCTATTTAAAAGCTGTTTCCTGGCACAATAATTTATGCCCTGTTTTCATATAATAAGAAATGAGCAAAGATTAGTTATCTTGGTGAAGTATTAATTTTTTTAACCTTTGGTCCCTGGGTTTCCTTTACTTTTTTAATTTTTAAAATCTGGCCAAGGTGCAGAACATAGTGTATTCCATGAAATGATTTAAACCATTTTGGGTAGAGTATACTATAATTTAGCAATTGCAATAGGTTTAGAAAAACTCTTATATGATACTTGAGATTCTTATCTTTTGAAATAGTTTATTCTAACACTACCCCTAATCAAGGTGCAGAACATAGTGTATTCCATGAAATGATTTAAACCATTTTGGGTAGAGTATACTACAATTTAGCAATTGCAATAGGTTTAGAAAAACTCTTATATGATACTTGAGATTCTTATCTTTTGAAATAGTTTATTCTAACACTACCCCTAACAGTAATCATGTTCATTAGTCAGATTGGTATAGTCTGGCTTCTTAATTTTCCCTGAAAGAAAAGTAACAAAGGAAATTTTTTATTTATATAGTATATAGTATTTAATACTTTTGCACTAGAAACATATGAGATGTGTTTTAGTAACACATTCTTGGTTAAGCAATATATTTAGGCCTCCCTCCACCTCCCTTAAAAATATGATTCTTCTTCCATTTCCTAGTTTAGGAATTATAACTATGTCTTTTTTTTTGGCCACAGGAAGCCATTTGTAATGGTACAAGCACAAGTGACAGGAGATACCTAGTAAAAACTTTCGATAAGTGGTAGTAGTAATGTATAATAATGTCATATTATAAAATTTAAACTATGAAGAAGTAGGAGCATACATCATAAAACAAATTTGTTCACTCAGGAATATGAAGAGAAAACTATGTAATTTAAAGTTTATATTACGATAAATTTAAATTTTGTGACATACTTTTCTTAATTAAAAAATAGTTTGATATAAGATTTTGACCAATAAAAGCAGAATACTGAAATATAATGAGCATTCTGAATGACCTACTATATCATGTGACTAGGAAAGTAAATTAGAATGAGTTTCCCCACTTACCTCTTTTGTTTTCCTTAAACTCTATAATGAATTCTATAATTATCTTACCCTTTAAGATAATTTTAAGTCTTGATTTTCACATCAATTATTTTGTCACGAGAATTTTTAAACATACTCCCAATTTTTTTTCCCCCAAGTGATTGATATTAGAACAAAACAGGTCAAATCCAAAACTCTAAGCCATGTGACCACTTCCTTCCTTCCTTCCGGAACATCACAAGTCCGTTCATAAACATTCTTTGTATACTGTGTCCAACCAGTTAAGAATCATAGTTAATCACACGTTGTCACCTTGCCCGCAGTAAGAAACTTGTCAGATGCCCTGATGTGATCAAGAGTACCTGTGTCTGCAGCGTTCCATCTGTATTATAGTTGACTGGTTTTATTTGGTACTGAAACCTCTGCTTTCTTCATTGCAAGCTTCTCAAAGGCAGAGACTCTTATCTTTTCCACCTTACTCATTTTATATTCCCAGTGGCTAACAGGTTAGATTACTATGTCAGTGGGAGATGCTCAGTATCTGTTGGTTGCAGAGAGCTAATGAGTGAATGAATAGTCAGTATTAAACATAGATTTAAGATTAGTTAGTTCTGACTGGCCCGTACTAAGCCCATGGAGGCCACTGAGGTCTCCTGAGCCATTTTTAGACTTAGAATTTTGTCAGGGATTGACATTAAACTTACTGAACACGTCCTGTATTCAGAAAAAGATGAGAGAACGTGTCATAATTATGCTGATTAGTTTGATTACAGATTTTAGATTTTCAATTTCTTATAAATTTCCTTTCCCATTTCCTTTGGTGGCTATTTCACCCATTAGTATTAGAAGGACTTTCTCTTTCAAAATTGTATATTCTGTTTTATAAAGTAAATGCTTTAATTTCTTAAGCAAATATTATTTTAAAATATCAGTCACCACAAACTTTTTAAAATACATTTTTTCTTGTATTAGTATATGACAGTTATTTTTTAGTTGTATAATAGTGTTAATAGTGTCTGGGATAATTCTTTTATGTTTCAAATTTCAAGAAGAAGCCTATAATTGTTCTTCAAAAGAATTGTCTAGCCTATTGACTTATGACATGTTGGAATTGTATAAGAAATGTGTGATTATTAAGATGCGTGATATAATTTAATGTATATACCAGTATCAATTGTTTTCTACTAACATAGATATGGATATGTGTGTGCCACAAAAATTATGAAACTGAGGAAAATACTTGAAAAAGTTGAGGCTGCATCAGGATTTACCTCTGAAGAAAAAGGTGACTGTCTTAATTTACAGTATATATATTAAAAACAACTTGAACACATATTCATATGCTAAATTATTAGATGAAATGTGTGCCTGTGTAGTTTTGGGGTTTTATTTTAAATTCTTTCTCTGTGATGTGGTATTTTCTCCCCTTTTTGCAAATCTTCCTCTTTTCTAAAAGTGAATGATGATGTGGAGTAATGAACCCTTTTAAGAAGCTGGCTGGTTCTAGTATATTAAATGAGTAAATAGAAAATTCTTTCCTTTCTTTCCAGCAATGATATTCTGAGTTGTTTCTGTTTACATGATGAAAGGTTGCATTCAGTCATCTGCATTTTCCCACTTAGTTTTCCTTGTTATGAAAGGGAGTTACAAAACAGCTGATTAGTATTAAGTTTATTGTCCGAAAACAGTGTTTTAATCTATATCCATTCATAGCTACCGGATTTACTCAAAAATTCAACTCCTGACTTTGAACTTAGCAGCATACTGCAACCAACTGTAACGTTTAAAGGCTTGATAATTACCAGTAAAAAGCAGGGCAGACTTCAGGTTTTATTCCACTTATTTTAAACACCCCCAAAAGAAATTAAAATTATTTCACTATAACTGAATTATTATATCCTTTCAAATGCAATAAATTTATAACAGAATTGAAACATAATACTTTATTATAACCTTTAAATATCCTTTGTATTTTTAATTTGTCAAGAACACATGAAAACTGTGCTTTTAATTTAAATAATATTGAATGAATAAAATTCAATTCAGTATAGAAATAAGACATAAATAAAAAATGGCTTAAACATTTTGCATGTGACTTATTTAATTTTTTATTTTCTCCTAGATCCTGAAGAATTCTTAAATATCCTGTTTCATCATATTTTAAGAGTAGAACCATTGTTAAAAATAAGGTAACTTTTAATTGTTATAGAAGCATTGAAAAAATAGACAATCCTTATTTTCACTGTCATTATTCAGTATAAATAATAGGTTACTTAACGAGAACTTGATATTGTGTTTGTTTAGGACTCTTAATATGCTAGTTGATTATAAATGAAAATTAATTTTGATCATTGTCCTCTCCATAGTGCCATACTTAACTTGAGGAATAAATCAATGTAAATTTGTACTATTAATTTGAACCCCAGTAATAAATATCATTAGAAATCATTTCTTATGAAACTGTATATAAATATTTTTGTAATTTACATTAATGAACCTTTTAAGAGAATCTTATTCTAATCTAATCTAACACTGTGAGAACACTGTTTTTGACTACTCATCACTCAAAGAATTAATTTAAACATGAATCAGTCAGCTCTCTTGTTCTCAGTTTTGTAACTTGGTCTTTTTTTCCCTCCATGTTGAATGAAAGACTTGAATCTAATGTAGTAACGTCTTTAGCGAGATGTTTTAAATGGCTGAACTTTCCAAATGGCTTGAATGTTCATACTCTCAAGAATGGACCTTTTTACATTGTAGGCTGGGTTTCTCTGTTGAAAATTTTGCTAATGTGCTACACTTCCTTAAAAGCTAATCATAGACAAGTCCTTTTACTCATCTCTGTGTCTTAGGTGATGTTGTTTGGTGCAAGTGTTGAATTGATGGATGAGAAGAAGGCAGGAAGGGTGGGCAGTGTCACAAGTATGGTTGGATATTATTTGGGAAGTTATAACTAATGAAACAGAACACAATGTGTGAACATCAAGAGTACATATATATTCAAAGATGGCAGTAGTCACATGTATACCTAGAAAATCCTAGATAATTGTCTAGAAACTATTAGAATTAACAAAAGAATTTGTAATTTAACCATGTAAAAAATAACCATGGAAAAATCAATAGCAATTCTGTATTCCTTTAAGCAAATATGAAAGAGGAATAATTTCATACTTCATGAATGTGTAAAATACCAAGAAGTCAATTTTATTGATATACATTTTTGAAAAGATAGATTTTTAAAAAGATTTTTTAGAGCTAAAAAAAAGGATTTGATTGATAGTGAGAAAGATTGCATTCTTGGTAGGAAGATTAAATAGCTTAAAGATGTTAAGTTTTTACAGAATAATTTGCACATGAGCAAGATCTTAATGTATTTTTTTTGGAGCTCAGGAAAGTGATTTTAGAGTTATCTACAAAATGAAGTGGGTGAAAATACTGAAGAATTCCTTAAAAAAAGGAGTTCTATTCTAAGCAATAAAGGCAAAGCAATAGACATTAAAATAGTTTGTGATAATAGTATATAATTAGAAATATGAATCAATAGAATTAAATAGACAGCTCAGAAATAGAATTAACTAAATGTAGTATTTTAGTATCTTATAAGTCAGCCTTCAAACAGGAATGGGGAAGGAAAGATATACTTAATACATGCTGTAGAAATCTAGCAGACAGTTTGGGAGAAAAAAGTCAATTTTGTTTCTCATTTTAAAGAAATAAATTCCAGATGCTTAAAACAGTTGTTTTCATCCTTTTTTATTTTCCTTGCCTGACACACATAAGGGATGTAGTACACTCCCAGTAATAACATAGGTTGAATACTGCAGTGATGCTCAGACGGGGTAGAGAGGGAGCAGGCACATCTTGAAATACATGAATACATCACAGTCTAAAGGCCTTGTGGAGTTTGAAAAGAGCCCTGGAAAGTTCTTACACCCCTGATGGGTACACTGTCCACTCCGCCCCCCAAGTAACCTCTCCATGTAGAGAGTGACGGTTTAAAGATTATAAAAAGATATTTTAAGTTAGTCCCTTTTTCTGGTGTCATTCTTGCCCTCTACTCCTAGCCTTTCTTTCTGATGGAGGGAGAGTCAGCTGATGAAACAAATAGGATGAACTAATATCTTAAATATATATGAACTAATAACTTAAATATCTGAACTAATAAAACAGTCTAAAAAGACTATAAGATATTCTCAAATGATTGATGAGGCAGAAGAAGGACTAGATACCAGTGAAAGATAAAAACAGATTTGATAACAAACAAAATCAAATAAATGAAAACAGAATTTCCAGAGACAGAAAAATATATCATGGGTGGGAGGAGACACCTCACTGGCTGTGGAATGCACAGCTGAAGAGAAAATTGATCACAGCCCAGGAGGTTAAAGAGTTAGAAAACAAGCAAGAAAGGATAAGAGACATAGAGGGTGGATTCTAATTGGAGTTCCAGAAGGGGACACTAGTGAGAATAGAAAAGAAGCAATGTTTCAATAGGAAATAATTGAAGAATTTTCAGTATTTTAAAACAACTTAAATTCTAAGAAGAAAAGATGTCCAGAATTCCTGAGTATGAAAAACCAAGACTAAATGATCGCTCCGAGACTTATTACAGGATGTACTTTAGTAAAACAGGAAATAATTGAAGAATTTTCAGTATTTTAAAACAACTTAAATTCTAAGAAGAAAAGATGTACAGAATTCCTGAGTATGAAAAACCAAGACTAAATGATCGCTCCGAGACTTATTACAGGATGTACTTTAGTAAAAAAAAAATGAATTTAGAATAAAGGCGTAAGATGCAAGAAACAAAGAAAACTCATGAAATTGGTAAGTGTGGGTAAATTAAGTCTTCACATTTAAAAAACAGTAACAATGATGGTAATAGTATCTAATCGTGTGTGAACTGTTAAAGATAAGGTGAAACTAATGTCATTGCCACTAACAAGAGAGCATAGCGATTTGAAGCAAAGTATTTCAAGAAAAATTATGAATAACATCAGCAATAAAGAGGCAAAATAGGGCTGGTCATTTAGCTTAGTTGGTTAGAGTGCAGTCTTCTAACACCAAGGTCAAGGGTTTGGTTGCCAGAACTGGCTAGCTGCCAAAAAAAAAGCAGCAAAAATACAGGGAAAGTTTCAGATTGTATTACTGAGTACCTCTCATTATAGAATGTGGTCTGGGTATTCTTATTACATAGATATATCATACCTGTATTATATTTCATACTGCTGGGTAACTCAATAAATAAAGAATTTTAGTGGCTCCCTATTATGGTCTGTGTCACGGAGGTTGACCACAATTATACAGATCCATGAGTGTTTCTGTCTTATCTGTAGATGTCCATTTTCTTTTAACATTAACACATTTGTACCCTTTTGCCCTTAGATTTTCCATAGTGGAAAACTACAATTTAAGTTGCAGTTAGATTAGATTAGATATTATAAAATTAGATACTTTTCATATAGTACATTTTGTTTATTTTCGGGTATAAGTGGCTTTGGGAAGCTAAGGATTTCTGCAGGCTGGATTCTGAATAGCTGAGATTTTCATATGAAAACTATTTTAATATTTTACCCTAAAAATCTTGAAATCTAGATATGTCATGATGTAAAGTCTGACTTTATACCCAGAAATTCTGTTAAAAAGTAAATAGTAAACTTAAAAATTATTAATCCTTTTGGTAAAGGTAGTCTTAAAGATTAATGGCATTCATTAGTAAAATATTAAGAAGGGTAACATTGTGATTAGCATGCAGTAGGCGCATACATGGTATTTATTGAAGAAATGAGTGATCATCTAAGGAGACAGCATACTTTATTTTTTTATTATTTTTATTTTG